GCCATCACCAGTGTGTGAATGTGTGGATGACTGGATATGTAAGCGCTTTGGGGTCCTTAGGGACTAGTAAAGCGCTTTACAAATACAGGCCATTTTTAGTTTGTGGCGATGTTGTTTGTGTGTCTGCTTGGGTGTCCAAAGTTTGGTCTGCACATATGTTTGAGTAACATTCATGGTATGCTTGTAAATTGATGGGTTTGGTTTCCCAAATCCACTTTTAGGGACAGACTGTAACACAATCCACCCACAAACACACTGAATGAGCCGCATGCTTCACTCTCGCTGCTGTAACAAAAATGATACATTTTCTATTCATTTTCTTATTCTTTTCATTTTCATATCATCATGAAAGCCTTGTGCGGGTAAGTTCAGGAACAACTTTTAGCATTTAGTACATCTGGATAGAATTAAGCCACAAAGCTTTCCTTCACAGCTTTTGCTCGTGTTGTGTGCATATTTCTCATGTGAGTCAAACAAGTATCACCGATGAATCCCACGCTACTACAAAACAGAGTGGAGCGGTTTCTTTGATATCACAAAGAGTAAAGGGAATTATTATGTGATTAAGCTTTAGTGCTAACTTTGTCTTGTTTTCTGGTTTGTAGGTGAAAAAGATGGCGCTGATCTGCCAGTGATATGCAGCTTTTAAACTCTATCACACAGGAAACTACTGGAAGATAACGAGGGTGGAGCTCGTCTAAAGGCAGATGTTGCTGCAGTGCACAAACTGTCCTAAACACTTGGTGTTTGCAGAATATCGCAATATTGAAACATAAATAATTGTGTTTTATAACTGATTTGATTTACATACCTCCGACATGAGAGCTATTGTATGTTTTTAGTTTTGCATATTTTACTCTAAAGCAAATCTGTCCCACATTCTGTGTACAACAGCGTCTAAATTAGTATCCCAAAAGACTGCAAGACAAGATTTTCTGTTCTTCTGTTCTTTATATTGTAAGGTAAAGACCCTGCAATAATAGAAAAATCCCATCAAATAGATGCAACTCTGTGAGAAAGTACTTGGCAACAATTGCAAAGACAAACAGGAAGATTGACAGGAAGAAACCTCTGGGAGAGACAGAGTTTAATAATCAATAACTAATGATTAAATGCAAAATGAGTTTATTATCCTGTTAATTCTACAGTTTTCAGTAAAAGAGTTCAGGATAAAAAGAATTTCCTGCTGGAAACCCAAATGTTTATTATTGACATTTGATTAGTACTAGTATTAGTATTAGGTGCTCTTCACAGGTATGGGCGTGGCCTCCCTAGTAGCCAGTGTCTGATTCCACTGACACTCACCTGCACCACCTCGTTTCTCCTCTCTACTCCTCACTGGATAGTTGAACTGAAATTGTCATGTTGTGGTGAGACTGAACTGTGATAGGTGAAGCATGTTTTCTTGTTCCTGAGTAAGATTACTCACTCACCGTGTTTTTGCACCTGCCTGTCTTACCTGTGGACAAAGCTGCCTGATCCACTCGCGTCCACAAAGAAACACGTATCTGGATTAAGCCTGTGAAAGCTGGGGACACCTGCCTGCACACCAGTTTGTGGAGAAACTGTCAATTCCCCCACGAGAGCCTGTGAGAACAAACAGCAAAACCAGCGCGCTCAACTTCAATGACTGTGGAATAACCTTCCTCTCAACCTCCGCGCATCTGATTCCATTGCACTGTTCAAATCTCGACTAAAAACCCTTTGGTGACAGTGGGAAGGAAAAACTCCCTTTTAACAGGAAGAAACCTCCGGCAGGGGCGGAGCCATCTGCTGCGACTGGTTGGGGTGAGAGCATTTAAAGAAATGCTTTAAATGCACTATTACAAACTTACACATGTAACTGTGAGTGCTGAAGTTCTCAGTCATAAGAACTTACCTGAGACGGCATCAATAAAATCAGCTGACAAGAACATCTGTGACAACTGAAAACACTTAGCTGTGAGTGACAGAGCCATGTGAAGATACCAAGGTTCCTTTCACAGATTTACAGACTGATCAAATGTTCACCTTATTGTTCAGTGAAATCTTTGAAAGTTTCTAGAAAATCTAGAAATGCAATCGAGTCCTGAAAAAACACATAATATATAGAAAAGCAGCTGGATTGAGCAGGGTTACAGTTACAGCTGCTCTGCTGTGTGATGTCACGAGTGCATGTTTTCTAGGGAGGGTTTAGAAAGGAATATTAGGATATGTATTCAGCATGACTCAACTTACAGCCTGTTTTTGTTTTTTAAACAGCTTATTATTGGGCTTGATTAAGAGCATTAAAATTCCACCCTGCAGCCAAGACTCTGGGAATTCCACATTTGCTCGTGTTTTGGGAAATCCCTCCCAGCTGCATTACAGTCAAAGTTAGAAGGTTAACAAATGACAGGTTCCTCCCAGAGCTGTGAATCAACAGGTTTTTGTTTCTCTTCCTAAAGTCTTGTTTTCCACATTGGTCCAGTATTTCTTGTGGCCCTGCAGTTTTCCTCTCCCCACGCTGACCCTGTGTATGTGCCCACTGTTGTGTGAGCTCAGCCTGCTGGAAAGTCCTAATCACCTGTTGTCATAGCAATGAACTTGGGCGCTGCTCACCAATTCATCCTCTTTTGTTTGCTGCTTGGTTTAGCGTCCAATCACCTCTCGTGGAATTTGTGGCATCTGCCGTCATTTTTAGGGTTTAAAAGACTTGAAAAATTATTGTCACTCAGGCAAATATGGCCCTTGTTCAGTCTCTACAGAACAATGTGTAATGTCCACCTGTGAGGACGTGCTGGTCACACATGAAACTTTAAATGTACGAACTTCACCTTTAGTTATTTCCTTTCTCATGAAAAACATTTGTGTCAAAGCTTTGGCAGAATTAAAGATGTAATGAAACATGTAGCACAGTTATTAAAAAGGGAACTGGGCTGGATGTACGTTCACATTTTTGAGGTTATGACAGAGGCTTGTGAAATTACAGGGGCGTCGTTTCAGAAATGATTTGTCATCTCAAAAGCTACACGAGCTTGTGACATCGTGGATAGATGTGTTTCCTGTTTTGAATAATATTCCTGTAAAGATATGTGATTCCTTCTGGGAAAGCACATTTCTGTAACATTCCTGAAAAGGAAGTCAAATCCAGATAAGGAATAATGGTTGTTTACAGCAGCTGTTCGAATAACAGGTGCTGTGGGATTAAACAAGATACTCCAAAATCTTGACCTCGATCTGCTTAATCGGTCAAATATTCAGCAGTTTGATCACAGAAGTGGAAAAAATAAAAAAAACACTTTAATCATTAATTTTCATGGCATAAAATACAAAAACCGACAGCATCACAGCTAACCCAGCTTTTAAAAAAGACCCTTACATGAATGCCTTACAAAGAGAAATACACACCAGGCACTGGGTATATAAAGTGTAGCTTTACACTACTCTATTACACAATAATAGAGATGTTGATCAAACAGATGACACACACAGCTTTAACATTTTGAAATAAACATCTGTAAATAA